AGCATGGGAGATTTTCCCACTTCCTTAAATCTGCTTTAATTTTATTTTTTAAGTTTTCATCATAGAGGTAAAAATATTACAAGAAGGGATAGGGGATATGCTAGGGGTCCTCAGCACAAGTTGAAACTTCCTAAATAAAGATCCAGAAACACAACAACTTAAAGAAAGGCTAGATAAATGGGATCACATTAAACTGCAGAGCTTCTGCATGGCAAAGGACATAGCTAGCAAGATAAATAGAAAGCCCACAGACTGCTAAGATATTCACTAATTATACAACAGACAAGGGTGTCATATACTTAGGGCTCAAAAAATTAACCCTCCCAATAACAAATCTACAAAGAAACAACCACCCCATTAATAAGTGGACTAAAGAATTAAAAAGAGACTTCTTTGGAGAGGAAATAAGAATGGCCAACAGACACGGAAAGAAATGTTCAACATTGCTGGCCATAAAGAAATGCATATCAAAACCATATTGAGATTCCACCTTACCCAAGTTAAAATGGCTATTATTAAGAAAACAAATAATAACAGATGCTGGTGGGGATGTAGCCAGAAGGGAAGACTATTACACTGTTGGTGGGAATGTAAACTGATTCAACCAATCTGGAAAGCAGTATGGAGGTTCCACAAAAGATTAAACATAGAACTTCTCTATGATCCAGCAATTCCACTCCTGGACATTTATGCAAATGATTACAAGCAAGGCCACACTAAAGCTACCAGCACAACTATGTTCATTGCAACATTATTTACCATAGCTAAGATGTGGAACCAACCCAGATGCCCCTCAATAGATGAATGGATTAAGAAAATGTGGTATATATACACAATGGAATTTTATGCTTCTATCAGAAAGAATGACATCACCCCCTTTTGTAAGGAAATGGAAAGCTTGGGAAAAAAATCATATTAAGTGAAGTAAGCCAAACCCAAAGAAACATAGGCTCTATGGTTTCCCTCATTTTTTGTTGTTGTTGTTGTTTTGTATTTTTTTTTTTTGGTCAGTCGTGGGGCCTGAGCTCTGGGCCTGGGCACTATCCCTCAGCTCTTCAGCTCAAGGCTAGCACTCTACCACTTGAGCTACAGCACCACTTCCAGCTTTTTTCTGCTTATGTGGTACTGAGGAATCGAATCCAGGGTCTCATACATGCAATGCAAGCACTCTACCACTGAGCCACCTTCCCAGCCCTGTTTCCCTCATTTGTAATAATTAGTATATGCCTAGGATAGTCCTTGCAGAGAATCATAATAGCTCAGTAGCTATATACATATGACCATACAAAATGATGCTAATTGAAATGAACTCCAAGACATGGAAACAACAGGTCTTTTGTTGTTGTTGACTTTGTTGTTGCCAATGTACTATATTTAGTTCTTCTTATTTTATTTATTTTTTATTTTTCCATTGGTTTATCCCTGTCATTCACTGTCTTTGATTCTGGTACCGTGCATCTTGTATATACATGTATCTGATTTGGGGAAGGGAAGGGGAATAACAAAATACTGAAAGAAGGACAAAGGGTGACCCATTGCAACAACAACACTCACAAGACAGTATGTGGGAAATGAACTTTACAACTCTGGGGGTTGGGGTGAGGGGGTGGGGGAGGAGTAGGGTAGGGGGAGAGGAAAAATGGGGGAGGGAAAGGATAGTGGGAGAAAAAGGAGTGGGTAACAATGTTCGACAAGAAATGTACTCATTACCGTACGCATATAACTGTAACGCTTCTGTACAGCATCTTTATAATAAAAATAAATTCATAAATAAAAAGCAGTGATATAAAAAATCAGGTTATGAAATTCTTTGTGCAAGAAGCTGACACGTGTGGAATGAATAAAGTTTACTCTTTAAAAAAACTTTTTAATTTAAGAAGTAATATATAAAATGCTTGAATTGTTGGAGCCAAGTGCTGGTGGTTCATACTTGCAATTCTAGCTATTTAGGAGGCTGAGATCTGAGGATTGTAGTTCGAAGCCAGTCTGGGCAGGAAAGTCCGTGAGATTCTGACTTTCAATTAACTACCAAAGAGTCTAAAGTGGAGCTGTGGATCAAGTGATAGAGCACTAGCCTTGAGCAAAAACAAAGAGCTCAGTGACAGTGCCCAGGCATGTGTATACACACACACACACACACACACACACACACACACACACACACACACACTGTAGTTCTTTACCAGAAAGACTTGAAACTTTTATAGACTGTAAACTGTGAGTTTGCATTTTCTAGAACATAGTATATTTCTTAAATATTATAAAAATCTATTTCATTGCTTCAGTTTTATGCCATAATGGGCCCATAAGATATATGCCATCAGACTCTATTTAGAAAAATTTAAAATTTAATTATTCCTTGAGTTTCTTTGGTTTCTTAATATAATATAGTGTATATGACAGATGTTATAGCCTTTCATTTTGTATCCATATTACAGCAAACTTTGGCATTTGCTTTCTTTCTTCATGAAAGGTTTAAGACTTATGACTTGTGCCTTTATAAACCTCTTGTTTTCTCCATTTGCAGTCACATATCAAAATGGTAAAGTGTTTATTTTAAATGACAAGAAACAAAATGTTTTAAAGTTTTTTCCCCTGACACATAGTAACTCAGCATGCATGGCATAAATCAAATTCATATTGATTGCTCCATGAAGCCTCTGAATTTTCAGCAGAAACCATAAAATAAACTGATCAGTTAAGATACCCAAATGGTATGAATTTGGTGTTAATGATTCAGTTGAGGTTTCAGTTTTTCTTCAAGTATCTGAGAATTCTGGATCTCGTCCTAGAATTGATTCTGAGAGGATGAATGAATTTGCAGCTGGACTAAGACAAGGCTGGAAGGTTGCTTTATGAGTTATACATCTGTAAACTTAGTGTGACTTCAGAAGTTAGATCTGGAGAACGTTGATGTTGGGATAGGAATAATATACAAAACATGTAGCAGGCAGGAGTTACTATGTAAAAGATTATCTCTCTTGTTAGCAGAGTTCTTTTAGAGGTTGGGGCAAGATAGCACATTGACCAAAAGGATGGCTTAAACTTGGCTTGTTGTTTGTTTGTTTGTTTGTTTTTGTTGGCTGTGGGGTTGAACTCTGGGTATGAGCGCTGTCCCTGAGCTCTTTTGCTCAAATTTGCTCAAAGTTAGTGTTCTACCACTTTGAGCCACAGCGCCACTTGAGGATTTCTGGTGGTTAATTGGAGATAGGAGTCTCACAGATTTTCCTACTGGGGCTGGCTTTGAATTGTGATTCTCAGATCTCAACCTGCTGAATAGCTAGGATACAGGCATGAGCCACCAATACCTGGCACACTTGGCTTTTAAATGCTGTTGGAAATTGTTTTATCTATGCAACATAAGCTTCACCCTTGGAGATTTCTACTGCCAGACCACTGAAAGAGGATCTCAATTTGTGCGCTTTGTGTCATTCTGTAGTCAGGCACTGAGCAGAGTGAAAGAAATCAGGTATTGGCAGAGAGTGATGCCTCATTAAAGGGACCACTTTTGATTGAGTAGAGCAGCATTTAGCCCAGTCCTCCTTAGTGGTATTCCTGAAGTCACTGAGCTTATTTTTTCTATTAATCATATCATCTGTGAGCATTCATGAATGTCTATTTAATGCGGACATGACCAGTCATCAGAGAGAATACATGCCTCACTAAAGCTTGATATGGCTGACTTGGCCTTGTAGATGGTGACACTGAATCAATCTATCTGGATTTTTAAAAAGTTTTCTAGTATTCTATACCAACACAGATTGACCCAGTTGTTTCTTAGATCTTACACAGGCAGTAAAGCAAAAATAAAACAAAACAAAAAAACCTAAATAAATAAATAGCATTCTGCGGGTGGTTTAAAATGCCAGGTTTCTTTTGTGGAGCCAGTAGTGCAATATCATTTATTGATTTATTGATTTATTTATTTGCAATCCTTGCTGAAATTTAAAGTCATGAAATTCAAGAAAACATGGGACTCAACACATTGAGTCTGTGCACACTTTGGCCTATAGACTTTCTGCTTTGTTTCAGGTATATAGATTATACATCCCAGTGTACTTCAGAAATGACATGTTCTAAGAAGAAGAATAAAAGGTTCTCTGCGCCACAGAGATGGTTAGAATATATAGTTTTCCTAGTTCAAGCTAGGAGGTTCATGGCACCCTGCTGGACAAGTTAAGGCACACTGGAGCATAACTGTGATGAGATCAGTAATACACACAGGACTATATTTTGCTCCCAGATAAGTTAATAAAAATGGTCCCTAGGTATAAGGTATCAAATCTGTCCAACTATACCCATCCCTTTAAAACTTTGATATCTATAATAACAGTAATAATATCCCACATTTATAGTTCATAAAGTGGTTTCATGCATTATCCAAAATTTGGACTGGCTCATAATGTTAAAAGACAATCATAGTGACCTTGTAACATTAATAAAGCATTTAAACATTAATTAAGAATATTTTTACAAAGGGAAAAATTGGAAGGGGAAACTTGTAACCTATTCAGCTTTCTATGTGGGGTAGTGGTTGTCAAGTGATGAGTTATTTTTCTTTGTTAAAATTTTGCTTTGTCAGAGATGAGAAGTCATGTTAATAAATAACACCTGAATCAGATAATAAGTCTAATCTGAAATACAAAATAATTGTTTACATTTTCAAAATTTTTTCTTAGCTATTTTTATGCTTTTCCTTTCAGTATTTTTGTTAGTGTGGGAAACAGGTTTTGCAGAAGAATATGCTAAAATAAGACTTTTTATTTGCAAGGAAAACTGGCAAATACCTTGTCCTTATTATCTTTAAATTGCAAATCTCTGAAGACTTGTCATAATTGGACGAGTCATTCTGTGATTTAAATGCATTGAATTTTGAACATGATTTGTAAAATGAGCACTCCTCTAGGGAAAGCGGGACAGGGATAGCACTAAACGGAATTCTCTCTTTTAAAATAATTATTGATTATAGAAGTAAGTTGTCGTTTATGCTTCTCTTTCAGAATTTTGCAGAAAATACCATGAATGAACTCCTTGGCTGGTATGGCTATGATAAGGTTGAATTAAAAGATGGTGAAGATATAGAATTCAGGAGCTATCCTACAGATGGGGAGAGCCGGCAGCACATTTCTGTTCTCAAAGGTAATGACATTCAATGTCCCTTTGTTAGTGCAAAGTAGGATTAACTATCTCAGCCTTCCAGAATTGATTTGCTTTTGGACTCATTTTGTTGACTATGCCTGTGGGTTTTTTTGTTTGTTTGTTTTGTTAGTTGTGGGGTCTGAACTCTGGGCCTGGGCACTGTCCCTCAGCTCTTCAGCTCAAGGCTAGTGCTCTAGTACTTGAGCCACTGCTCCACTTCTGTATTTTTCTGCTTATGTGGTGCTAAGGAATTGAACCCAGGGCCTCAGGTATGCAAGGCAAACACTCTACCACTGAGCCACCTTCCCAGCCTCTGTGGTTGGTTTAAATGTATATTCTACACATTATAAGAGAACAACACAAACAAAAATATACATAAGTTCATCTTCCAGCAGTGAAAAAACTAAATGGAGGCTTAGAAACTTAAATGTGGTGATCTGCCCACAAGTTCATAAAAAGAGACAAATACTGCTGACCCCCAGTTTCCTTTATCTTTTTTGCATATGATCAACTGCTGGGAGCTGGGATTTTCTGTTAGGTGCCAATGGTAGGTGTGCATTTTCAGAAAGAGTCACTGTTGTTTGGGTGACCCTTCTCCCTTGATTTAGGGTAGGAATTCCAAAGCCCTATTTACATTTAGTACTTTCCCTACCACCAAACCCTTCAGTAGGGTAAGAGGAGAAAGACAGTAGTAGATTAGACCTTGTACTTTCTATAAGAGTATTTATGAAAGCCCAGCTAAAGAGTGGTACATAAAGAGGAATGACAGAGTAGAATTTATACTGATTCTACAGTAGGCAGCATTCTCTGATATCTAATGCAAAAGCTTGTATGACTACTGAATTAATGAACCTAAATTTGAAATGAACATTTGTTTGGAAGTGAAAAGAGAAGGAACATGTGAAAAAGCAGTTCATTTGAGGAATTTTAATAAAATGTGGGTAAAACTAATTGTGCATCATCATTGGCAATTTGTTCAGTATTTATATTACATCCAAATTTATTGGCACAATACCTGCTCAAGCATTTTGTTTCCAGACTTTAAGATAGCGCTTTCCCCCTTATATATGCAGCAAAATGTAAATGAGCTGTCCTGCAGGCATGTGGAACTGGATGTACATGACAGATTTTATGTAAAGTTTGCTATGACATTGAACACATCATGCTAGGAAAATAGTATAATCAATCTCACTGTAACTAAAAATGCAAGTCACGAGTGTATATTCTATAAACTAATAACATAGGTAATTATCTTTGGCTCTGGGGAACATGGAAAGAATGACTGCTATGTTTTTTGTGGTTGAGGCTTTTTTGGGGGCGATCATTTGCTTACAAGGATACTATGCACAAAGGTTTCTTTATTTTCATTTTCGTTAATTTTTAGTGGGCTTTATCAATACCCAGTGAATAGCAGTTTTCTTCTAGGTCATCATCTTTGATTATATTATAGTCTGAGTTTGTAATACAGTGGGAGTTACAATGCTGGGGTACATTCTTCAGACTTTTCTCCTGGAAGCTAGGAAGTGATTTTTACTGTATATTACTTATACATGGAAAAGGTTAATTGCCTTTTAATTTTTTTAATGGAAATATAGTGTTAAAATTCCTCACCATGATTCAGCTTGGATATTAGCTATCATAGTGGAGCAAATTATAAAGGAATTCATTGGAAAGTGTTGATAACAAGACCAGAAAATTCCATAACTGACTATGGAGTTCTGGTAAGCTGTTTAAAGGTTTACAAGGATTTTTTTTCCCGTAGACGATCATTTCACTCAAGGAAATGAGGAAAAATCTTCAGTCTGATAAGTAAGCTATTTTGTCATATGTCATATAATTATGTTTTCTCTTACAGAAAATTCTTTGCCAAAACCAAAATTACCTGAGGACAGTGTTATTTCACCATACAATATAAGCACAAGCTATTCAGGGCTTGCCACTGGAAATGGACTCAGTGACTCACCCGCAGGGTCAAAGGATCATGGCAATGTGCCTATTATTGTACCTTTAATTCCGCCACCTTTCATAAAGCCACCAGCAGGTAAGCACCACTGGGGTTCCCATTGATGATGATTCCTAGACATCTATTTTAACTATCTTATTAGTAACTATTACAACTTAGATAATAATTTTGATAAAGACTGTTTTAAGAACTCTGTAGATAAGAGATATCATGATATATATTATTTAAAATATTACTGTTATTGTTGGGAAAATTCTCTCTCTGTTAATACTTAGGCTTTCAAATAACTGTAAACCTTTTCTATTACCAGCTTGCAAAAATTATTTTCCTTCTCTGAAGTCATTATTCTTCTTTCTGAAAACAAGGAAAAATTTCTGTTCTTTTTTAAAAAACAAGTATATATGATGTCTGGTTAGCAAGAGAAGAAGGTAACTGTGGTTGAGCTGGGTGGTACATATGGAGGGCATGGTCTCCTGGGGTTTCTGAGAAAAGGAGTAATTTTGTACAAGGACATGTGGCATGCATGTTCCTCAACATGTTTTTCTTTAAATCCATTCAAGAAACAATTTACATTATGCATCATCTCCACAGAGTTCTTTCTAATTCCTGGAAAGCTGTCCTTGAGAACTTAAAAAAGATGGAGATCTGAATTCCAATTGCATGAAAATGTAATCAGTTCTTTTATATTTCCAGAAAATTAGATGGCACTGCGTTAGATCTAGATGGCAATAGGTTCTGAGCATATGATATTGTAAGCTAGGCTATGGTACATTTCACACAGAGGGAAAAGTTAACATTGTTGTCTCTGCATGCTGTAAAATGTTGGAATTGTGAAAGGATGCTTAATTGTGATTACAATAATAATACTTATTTTAGCATACTAAAGCAAATGCTTACTTTATAAGGAAAGATAGGTATTTGATTATGTTTCTATCAACAGTGAAGACATTTACAGAAAAAGTTCCTGGTTTGTATTTTATATATATGTGTGTGTGTGTGTGTGTGTGTGTATGGATGTTATAATATAGATATGCTTACATCGTATTCTAAGTCTGATACTTTCCTTCATACTTGTAACCACATTTTCTTCTTGTCCTTCTACATTTAAAAAATAAAAATTTCCTTTCACACTAAAGGTTTTACATGTATTAAAGTCACTTATAATTGTATTTTTCTACTAAATACTAAAGTAATTGGTGTATCATATAAAGTTTGTCTTATTAGTGCCTCTTTTATTTATTTTGTGATACAGAGAGGCCCAAATTTATCTCTAAAAGAGCAAAGATATCTTTTGCATAGGTCAACTTGGGCAAAAATGTAGCTGAGTTTGTAAACATAGAATTTATGTTTAACTGTGTGTTCTGTGGCTTAGGTGAAGAGTGATGACGAGCAGGAATTTAAGGTAGTATGACCAAGTAGCAGACCAGAAGGACTGGGTGTCAATCCAGGTTTTGTCACATACCAGTTCTGAACATCAATGCTCCTCATTTGTTTTCTGAAATGTAAAATGGGAGTCACAGACCTGCTTTACAGGGCTGTTGGAAGTGAGATGAGGAAATGTATGTAAAGCCCCTCACATAATACCTGCCATGTAGCAAGCACCATACTTCTTTTTCCTCTTTTCAGTCCTAATTCTGCCCTAGAGTTATCAGGTATATAATTTGTGCATAAAAAGGTGTGCATCCAAATGCAAATTCATCTCTAAGATTTATTTGAGCAAAGCAAACAGCTTTAGAAATTAGCATAGCTGAAGCTAACATGAGTTTGGCATGCCAAAAAAACCTGCCCTGGTGTTTCCTGCTGAGCCAGCCACATAGAATTCAAGCACACAGCTCCTATTTAACTCTAATTCCACATCAGATCAGGAAATAAATAGGCAAAAGGATAGAGGCCAAAAATGGAGCTTTGGAAGTCTTAACCGTAGGAACCCAGAGGAATTAGAAGCCAGAGTAACCGAATACCAGTGGTTTTATGCTGTCTTCTGTGGAACTCCAAGGCACTCATCTGTGGAAAACAAAATGTAGGAAAGGACGTCTTTAATTTTCTGTATCTGCTCAAAACTTTGACTCTTTCTACCATGAGGCTTCATATGACAAGACAAAGACAGAAAAGTTTTCTGCTTTCTAGACACTCTTAACAGAGAGATAAATTCTGATTTAGTCATGCATCTAGGACAGAGGGCAGATAGTACTTGGGGCTTTGCAGGCCATACGAGCGCTAATGAAGCTACAGAACTCTGTTGCTGTAGTATGATGGCAACCATACATAGCGCATAAACCAATGGGTGTGACCATCTTACAATCAAACCTTACTCACACAAAAGGCAGCTGCAGGGTTTTACCCACAGCTTTCTGATACTTGTGCTAGGATAAGTTATCTGAGTCTTATGGTAAAAGGAAGGTGACTAGAGCTTCAAAGTCAGGCATTTGACTTAGTAAGGTGTCCTGTGATGCCCCAAGAAGAAGCTAAGGAAAAAATAAGGGCAAAGTAAGAGTGCTTTGGGGTATTTGGTGTGCTTTGGTACAGCAATATTGGTTGAATGATTGACTGAAGTTAAATTCTTATTCTACACATTAGTTAAATGATTTACTGAGGAAATGTTACTATTTTGTTTGCTTTATTGTTCATTGAGAAAATACAAGTGTTTTGTCTGGAGTGATGCCAAATTGTCTGACCTTGACCACAGCTTCCTTGACAGTAAAGTGAGGATTCCGTTGCTCTTACTCTTTGTGGATAAGTCATTCTCAAAAGTTTTCATTAATTAATCATTTTAACTGTTCCTTTGCTAAAACTTCAACAGTTGTTCTCAAGGCCACCGAATTGTACATTTCTTGTCAATTTTCCTGTCTTATATGGCGTAATGTGCGTTCTTTAAGGGAACTAATAAAGGGCACAGTGGCCAGAAGCTAATGTTCTGCTAGTCAGCTCCTAGATAATTTACAACTATATCTTTGTTAATGTCTTCCTCTCAGGAAAGGAAAGATGAGGATTACATGTATGCTTTGCATTCTTATGTTAAGGCCCAAATTATTCCTGTTGTACTGCAAGCTATGTGAACATGCTAGTAATAATTCCTTATGTTTGTGTGACATTCTTTATAGTTTTTGAAACTCATTGCATTCTTTAATTCAGTCTTGGGAAATTATCATTAATGAACTGAAATTCAAGAACTAAAGTTCTTAAGGTCATGCAGCTTCTAAGTACTTGAGTTAGGACTACTACTAAAGTCTTCTGGCTCCAAATCCAATATTCTTTTGATATAAAGTTGCCTTTTTAGCATACTCCTACAAAACTTTCCTAGACTATCAGAATAATAATGCTTATTAACATACTACTTCCAGGTTCCCTGGTGACAAGGAGGCATAGTTTCTTCCTGAAAAAGCTTTTTTTGTTGTTTTGTTTGTTTTTTGTTTTGGTGCCAATCCTGGGGCTTGAACTCTGAGTCTAGGCACTGTCCCTGAGCCTCTTTGTGCTCTAGTCTTTGTGCTCTAGTATTTGAGCCGCAGCATCACCCTCAGCTTTTTCTGAGCAGTTTATTGGAGATAAGAGTCTCATGGACTTTCCTGCTAGGGCTGGCCTCGAACCGTGATCCTCAGACCTCAGCCTCCCAAGTAGTAGGATTATAAGCATGAACCTCTGGCACCCAGCCTAAAAAATATTTTTGAAAGTCCACATCATTACGAGATTTGATGAGTCCTTTGCTAACTTTATGAACCTGTTAGTCTGATGGTGGTAAAATCCTAGCTTGGTTTTTAAGTCCTTATCGTCATTTGACAACTGCTTTTTATTGTAGAGTACAAACACTCCATCTGGTCAGGCACTGGTGCTACATGTGCTCATAGCAGGCTCACCACTGGATCCCACTCATGGCTTGGCTGCTGGTGGGCCCAGTGGAATACTTGTGACTGGGAACATAGTGATAACACATTTGCTTCTTTTGCACAGCTGCATACAGAAGTGTGGGTGTAGCTTACTTCTGGGCCTAGGGAACTGCTTTTTTGGTCTTACTACCCATTTTTACTGGAGAAGGGAAGTTCCCTGTGTTTTGATGCTTACCACAGAACTGACCCAGCTTTGGCCTTGTATGTTTGTGTTCATCTTCCTAGACTAAGCTGCCCTTCCCTCCCCTCTGCCCCCCTAGATGGCCTCTTGAGCCTTGATGTACCATCTGTGACATCATAGGTGTTACTATGGTAATAGACTTGTTATGAACACAGGATAATAGCCCTGACTTTGCTTTGCTTTCCCCCCACATTTGGTGAAGGGAATTACCCTGATCTTTAAATAATAACCACAGACTTTTCTGCAGACTGTAGGCAGTGATTAGAATAAGCAGCAGAGAAGCCATTTAAAAACTGTTACAAGAATATTAGAAAATAATAAAAGCATTGTCCAACTCTGGTGCAAATATACCTTTACTCTTTTAGTTCAAAATATGAAAATTTCTAATTTTCAAAACCACATAATGTACAGAGTCTGAAGTAGAAAAAAATATTAGGAAGAAATTTGAGTGTACAAGTTAATAATATTGTCACCTTTCTGTAATTCCTTTCATACTAGAGTTTGTGTGTGGGTGTGGGTGTGGCTGTGCGCGTACACAAGCTTGTCCTGGGCATTGAACTTAGGGCTACTCTACCACTTTAAGTCACAGCACCATTTCTGGCTTTTTGGTAGTTACTTGGAGATAAGAGTCTTAAGGGCTTTGAACCACCACCCTCAGATCTCAGCCTCCTGAATAGTTAGGATTATAGACATGAGCCACCAGAAACTGGCTATATTAGAGATTTTTAATATAAGTTTGGCCCTTTAGCACTTTGGAGAGCATTGTGTCTAGACAGGGTATCAGATAACATATAGTATGATCATGCAATATACTAAGTCTCCACTAAAACACTTGTGCCTGCCTGCTCTCTTGAGGTTTGATGATGGAAGCAAAGCATTTGAAGTAGATTTCTGAATAAAGGCATTTTTACCAAGACCTTGTAATGATATTTAGCACCTTATAAGTGTCATATTAGCACTTGGCTCCACTCGCAGGACGTTAGTCTTCTGCAGTGGTTGGGAAGGTTTGGGATTCC